AATTGAAACTAAAGAAGGAAATATTTTACAAGAGGGATTATATCAACGTGATGATGTTACTCCTTATATGCATGTGTTTGTATGCCATATTCCAAAATTTATGAAATTTCTTAAAATGAAAAATTTATATTTACGATGGTTTTCATATTCAGATGTTGAAAAAAAAATCATGATCATGTCCAACTATTTTATGGAAAAACTACAATAGGTGGTAGCAGTTTTTTAAAGCCTATAGTATATGAAATGTATTCATATGAAAATCGGCAACTTTATTATAATATTAATGAAACGCCTACATCATATTTTAAAGAAATTGTAAATTTTAAAAAAAAATAAATTTAAACTATAACTACATTTCATTTACATATCTCAATTTTAAACTTTAAAAGTCCAAAAGACCAAGTATAAATCTCTTCATTATAATCTTCATTAGTCGCTTGTTCCTCCCAAAAAAATCCAAATTTAACTTCGGTCTTTACTTTAACTTCATTTTCCGTTTTTGTTTTTTTTTCGCCCAATGAGAATGTGAAAAAATATAACCGATTCTTTTGTACCCATCTCTTCCTTTATACACACACTTGTATTTTCGCCTAGCCGGCTAGTATTCAAAGCCTAGTTCTTGATAAAATACATAAAAAAAAAGGTTCTCAGGACAGTGTATAGTAAACTGTTTGAAGTCCTGGGCTGTTCGGTAAGTATGAAGACAGGACTTCACATTTGCAAGAAAAACAGACCGGAATTGACACAAGCACCAACTTGAAGGGAGTTCAAACCCAGAACTATGAGGTACGACCTGGTTATGTGGGTGCTTATTTGCTTCGTGAGATAACAAAGACCTTCTTGTTGAATATGTTTTAGAGCATAAGTGGCAAAAAAAAGCATTTGACGAAGGCATTATTATCGGTTATTGATTATCAGATTAGTGTAACCGTATAAAATATTACAATCTTATATCACCTGAATCAGTCAAAATCGGCCTATATGAAATAAAATAACTCTTCATATTGTTTTTTATCAAGTTCAGTATATAGCCAAAGATTTTTACTTTGAATATTATTATTTTGGCTATAGTTGAATGCAACGAACTCGTAACCATTATAAAATTATTCAAAACTCTTTTCGCTAATCCTCAATACCAAAATTGGCAAAACAAATATTCAAGGTTTACTCAAAAAACAGCCTAACTAACAACTTTTGGAAGACTAAGAGAAAAGGTTCAGCAAGTTAAAGAGCTATAATTTACTTAGAACAACAGTTAGCGAAGCACTGAGCTGAAACTAAACAAAAAAATTTTTGCAAAAATTTCTCAAAAATTTTTCGAAAAATTGGGAGATTGCTCTTACCCCCAAAAATTCAAACAAGAACAACACGTGACTAAAATTTTCGACAACAAAACAAACAAATAAACAAACATGTACTTTTTAGAAATACGTGACGGTACAACAAATTAGATAAAGTAAACAAAAGGAAAATCTTATATGTGCAAACTAAACAAGGCAAATACAAATATATAGAAACTTCTAGAAACTGATGGAATCTGATAGAAGATTATCAGGAGTAGATGGTCTCCTTGAATTGGTGTATGTAGCATTTGAAAAAGTACTTAGATATTTAAATAGTAGTGATTTAGTAGAAATTCTTCGTATATTCTATCTATACGAATCAGATGAAATAGATGCTCTTGCTAGGGATCTTATAGTACAAGACCCAAACAAAATTACAGCATATGAAATGATTTTATATGGTCAAATCCGAGATGCACTCAG